ATGTCTGTTCCAGGGATCTTTGGTAAGCACTCCTGCAGCACTTTAGGCATTTGGCCACTGACACAGCACGTGGTTTTAGGGTGACATATTTTACCATCCCAAATGACCCCTGCCTGTCTGAACATTCCTCAGGTGGAGAATGGAGACCCTTTGTTATCCAGGGTGATGTGACAAGCTGGGATGGGATGGGATGGGATGACAACTCCAGTCACAACTGGAGGACCCTTCCTGGCTTTGCTGAAATTTTTAGACCTGGACCTCCCAAGCTGGAGGTCGAGGAACTTTCCCAGCCTGAAGCCAGGTTCCCTCTCTGCCTACAGGATCAGGGCCTTCCAGACCATGGCGATTCCCTTGCCTGCTATTCTACAAATGAGCCATCCAAGCTAATTCTACACTGGCTAGAGAATAAAAACTTAGTTGGTTATCCCTATTGCTCAGTTTTGCAGGTGAATAGAGCAGGGTTTTTTACTCTGATGCAGTAATTTATATTTTGTGTAATATGCTTAGTTTTGGCAAAGCTCCTGTGAGAGTTAAATGCTGAATTCCTTTAAGAAGAATATACATATATTTTAAATGATACCTATTTTTAAAGAGAGATAAATTCTATGCAAACAGTATATGAGTTTGAACAAGGTAACACTGGTTTTCCATGGTATTTATGATTGCCACACACCTCTGATGAATCTTCCTAGGTCATCTGCACTCGCTCTGCTTTGACCTTAGCAAAAAGTGTGGTGAGTGAGGTCCTTCTCTGGTTATTTGTGAAAGTGTATGGATGACTGCTGATTTTCAGTTTTATTGCTACCCAGATACCATAAAGAACAGAGGTAAATCTTACTTTATCTGTACTACATTTGGCAGTAAATAACGAATCTGGTGTCCAAAAAGCCAGACTAGAAGAAGAGATGCATAAGAGGACACTGATCCACCCAGTCTGTCAGAAAAGGATTGTTAATGTGCAATCTACTGAACACAGTAATGTGTCCTTTCTTCTGCACTAAGATCTGGTGGCTCCAACTTAAAACAAAAATACAAAAGTAGCAAGAACCCAGATACAGATGGAATTACAGAAAGCATGGAGAGTTCATCCAAAAAAAAAAAAAAAAAAAAGGAATTACTTGGTTTAAAAAATAGAAGTATGTCCAAAACAACAAGTTCTATAAACCAGCATAGTTGGTTGTGAGACTTGGGAACCAGAGGTATATTTAAATTTCAGTTCCTCTTTGTTGTGTTCTATTTTATTGTTCTCATTGATTTCAATTAGTTCAGACAGCAAATCCCATTGATTAAAGGCTTCCAGTGACTGGGGGCTCAAAGTGAAGCAGAGGCACACGAGCACAACATCTGCTGCACCAGCAACAGAAATGAAGAGAGCCTTTATTTAGGAACTGCATTTGCAGCTGGGAGGAGCTGTGGTGATGCTGGGATGGCTGTGGGGTGCTTGGGAGTGAGCCCAGCTCTGGGAGGAGGAGGAGGGGGACCACCCTCACCCCAGCTCTGGGTTAAACCACAGTCCTCCTTCAGGGTTTAGAGCAGACTGAGCAAGATGTGTTTGACACTGATCTGTAAAATTCTGGGCTCAGTTTACACACATCACAAAGCCAGTTCTAGTTCAGTTGTGTTGTCTCTGGTAAAGAAGTGGCAATGGAACAATAACCAACCAAGCAATATAATCAACCACTGCAGAGGTGCCAGTGGAAGATGGGGCCTGGAAGTCACGATTCCATGCAACGCTCATGACAGGTCAAGTAGAAACAAGCTCTTAAAATAAACTGTTGTGTAACTGTGTCATTACACGTGGAACCTGAGGAGGAAATGAATTAACCATGGAAAGCAGAACATCCATATTACAAATCACACATTTATCAGAAGAAAAAAGAAAAACACTCAACCTTTCAATACAGGACATTTAGATGATTTATTATTTAATCTTTGCTATATAAGAAAAATTTTTGCTTGTATACTTATTTATGGAAGAATTATTTTCTCCAACATGAACAAGGTAAGGAGGAGAAGTTAGGGAAGCCTTATATGATCTTTTTTTTTTAACAGCAAGAAACTTGGAACAAATGACTCCTTGGTAATTAATCTATACTGGAAAAGGAACAGATTTCTTTCCTTGTCTATCATTAATTTTAAAAAGTGTTTTATCTTGGAGAGCAAGGAACCTAGTAAAAATTGACACAAAGTTTTTTATATTTAAATGGCTTATTATTTTAAAGGGCACAATAATCTTACATCAGGAGACATTCATGTATTTTACACCTCTTCCAGATCTGTGTCTAACTGGTGCTTTTAATGACTTCTATTATTCTTGAAGAACATAAAGAACTGCTGGAGAAATCTATTCACAGTCACAGGAAAAAAAATTTCTGCATTAATTTACCTTTCTATTGGTCTAACCTTAATAAGCTGTCTTATTAAGTCCAGCTGATAAACCATTTCTGAATATGAGGACAAGAGTTACTGAAGGGATATGAAAGTACAGTAATGAGATAAAGATGTCAAAACATCCCACCCAAAAAGAGCTCAGGAAGCCAGGATGTGAGAGTATTGAACAGAGCATAGAAAAGGATTGGGAATTCAGTGTGAGGATCATTTGGGCAGGACCATTGAAGTGGTTCTTAAGAGTGAGAGGGGTGAGATCTTACCTTGGAAGTAAATACATTCTTCAGAATTGTTTAAGAGATTTGACATGGCCATGAAAGTACTGTTTAGGGGTTTAGTAAAGGAGCAAAAAACAAAAGTCCTGGCTAATTTATACAACTAGGTCATTCTGGAAACTTATAAAGTGCCAAGGTGGGTCTTTTTAACAAAATATATTAACTTTTTACCTCTTGTTCAAGAAATCTGAGTTTGGAGTCTGCCACATTATTGCTTTAGTCCTACCTTGGTTTCTTGTAATTCAGCTACATGCAGGTTCTGTTTGACAGAGTTTTAAAAATCTTATTATAGTAAGTCCAATGCTGGACTTGCATTCAGAATGACCAGAATGCACTGAGAGCAAGTCATTAATCTGAAATGATGAGAAGTTAAAAAGTCCTTGAAACTTCCTTTGCTGTGAATAAGAAACATGGGTTTCAACCCTCTCAGCCTGTAATTGTCCATTCTCACTCTGTGTAATTAATAGTCAAATATCCCCATGGAAGAAAGTTCCCTGAAGCTGCACAGTTGTGTAATTTCTATGAAATACAGAGATTTTCACTGACTGTGCCCCCTTTTTTTAAAGGATAAAATGTCACAGACAAAATTTCCTAATATCACTTCCCAAGTTTTTCAGGCAACTGGTTATAGTTGGGAGAAGCTGCTTTGTCCTGATTTTCTTTACTCTTACTCATTTGAAGCTCCTTAAGTTCATTATGTTTTTTTTTTTTAAGGAATAAACTAAATATCTAGAAACTGAAAATGCATTTAATTATAGATTAAGCTTTGGCAGGACTTAATTCATCCAGGGAAACTTCTAGACATCACAGTTAAGAAGTTGGAGGACTTACATTTGTGCTTCAGTGTCGTCTCTGTCAATGTTTAGAACTTGAAGGATGCTGGGTTTTTATTGCATGTCAGGCATGACAAAGTTATGTGTCATATTTTTTGGCTTTTCATGTGAAATTTGATGAAGATATTATGTGTTTATTAGATGTCAGGAAAAATACGGGTGCAGAACTTCATGCAGAGCAACTTGTCAGCTCTTGCCACTGACATACATAATTTTAATTTCCACTTTTTGTACATTGGCCATTGGATACAGTGTTGACTTTTGAATTAAAGCATAAAAAGGAATGAAATACTTTTCACTGTTGGTTTGCTTTCTGGGGGTGGTTTTTTCCCTGTTGTTGCTGTTCACTGTTTGCAAGTTTTTAATTGTAAAAGATGCTGTAGATGGAGTTTTTCTCCTTAGCACTGCTGTCCTATTTTCCCTGTGATATCCCCAGGGGATCTAACATGAGTTTAAGTAAGTCCATTTTTTCTCGACTGACAGAACAAATGTTCAGATGCTTTAAAATTTAAAGAGCAAAATGTAGAGATGGGTAAATTAGCTCAGAAGAGGTAGGAAATTCCCATTCAAACCAAATTCTTTGGGTTTGTTTGCTTTCTTAATTCTGGTGGCTTTTGTTTGCTTTTAATTTCCCATAAGGATGTTACATATTGAGAGCTTGGCATTCCCAATATCCTTTACTGTTTCAAGCAAAGACCTCCAATGTGTCGTAAGTGTGAACTCTGCCAGGGAATCCACTTATGTGCATAAGGCCTTTTGCATGAAAATTATTTTCATGGCACGAAGTTTAATGTTTATTAATATTCATGAGGTAGCATAGTTGCTCTGGGTATTTTAAAGAATATTCTCCTTTGCATTCCTTGTTGAAAAAGAGACATTTGAGAGCTGCCACAGTAAAAAGTTTGGTAGGTGTGCAAAGCAGCTCTGGAAGTCCAAAAGTGAGTTACTAAAGACACTTAGGTTCATTTTCTGCCCTATTTAGTTTGAAATGTCTTATATAGAAAAAATACAGTGAGAGTCATTATTGAAGTTCAGTGTGGCATTGTGCCAAAGGACTGAGCCTTCAAGTGGTCTAAGATTCATATTCTTGCATGGAATAACTTGAAATTTGCTCTAAGTGACATTACCCATTCAAAGTTGGTGTCAAATTTGGGAATAAAAAGAGTCAAAGATGTTTTGAGAGTGACATTTTACCGTGGTCCAAACTTTGTTGCATCCACCAAAGACTCAAACTACGGTTCTCATGTCTCCCAGTCCTTCCAGTCCTTGGCAGTGACCGTAGCTAGAAATGAGTGTTTTCCAGAGCCGTCTGGTGCGTTTGGAATTGCCCGCCGAGCCGCAGCTGCCCCTGGATGCAGGTGCGCGGTACCTGGGAGGGTTTGGAGGAGCGGCAGCGGCGCAGTCGGAGCGCGTGGGAACAGCGCATCCCAGGCTTCGCTGCATCCCTGCCCGCATCTCCATCCAGGATTGCCCCGCAGCTTGAGGTCTGTGGTCCCCACGCTTGGATCTCCTCATGGCTTGAGCCTGGCGTCTTCCGCTCCCCAAGCAAACCAGTGTGTCGGGGGAAGTTTCTCACTCCTCGCGTAGCGGCAGCGGCTGCCAGACGGAGCCTGCGGGCATCGCTCCCTGCGCCCATCCCTGTCCTGGAGCGCGGGATGCGCCCACCGCGCTGAGGCGGCGCGTGCCCTCGGGGTCCCCCGCGGAGGGACGGCAAGATTAGAAACCCTAAGAAAACCCCCAAAGAAATGGAGCAGGCGGGGAGCGGCGCTGGCTGAGGGGGCTGAGCCGGACAGGGCACCGGAGCGCAGGTACCGCCCCGTCCCCGCGGGCTCCGCGGGCTCCGCGGCACCGGGCAGGGCGGGCAGGGCAGCGCTGCGGGCACGGCCGGCGGAGCGGGGACTGGGGCGGCCCAGAGGTGCCTGTGCCAGCCGGGGGGCGGCTCCCCGGCCCGGCCCACCCGGGATCGCGGCGGGGGAGGCGGCGGGGTCGCCCCGCGGAGCCCACGCGTGTCGCGGCGCTGCCCCGTCCGAGGGACCGGCGCTGGGGCTGCTCCTGCCGGCAGGTGACTCGGGAATGGCGGTGGGGGTGGGCACGGGCAGGGGAATCCCCCGGAGCGCTCCCCCGAGTTTGGGGAGCTCGGGGTATCCCGCCCGCATCCCGGGGCTGAGAGGCAGGAGGAGCCACCCGGCGGGAAGGACCGGGCTGGACCGTCCGCCCTGGCTGGGGATGGAGCCGTGAGGCGGCACCGGAGGGGACGGGAGGGTGAGAATGAGGGGAGGGCGTGGGCAGGACTGGTCGGGGCAGGTGGACCCCTGTAGCGGGGGTGGGGTGGGGTGGGGTGGAAGACTGGGTGGGGGTGGAAGGGCATCCTGACTTTTCTCACGGAAGGAAGAGGGCAGGAATTGAGCAAGGATGTAGGGAATGCTGAATCCCCGCTGAAAGCAGAGCGACCTTCCCTCACGCTGGTATGACTGCGAGCGGCACGATGAGGTAGGAGAGAGGAACGGGATGGGAGGAGGAATAGAAGGAAAGTGCTTCCTGAGGGCCCCGTGGAGTAGTAAAAGCAGTGGGAATTGAGTCAGCTGTTGGCACGTTTACTTCAAAACTCCTGTCTTTGCAGGCCTTGCTTTTTAACACAGTACAAGTCATAAAACCTCCCTGCAAGTGACTGAATGCCTGTTCTTCTGAATGAACCTTTCTTCTGAAAGTGTCTGTATCCTTTCCTCCTTTACACTTTCCTTTTCTCCTTTCCCATGCTCTTGGCTCTGTTTAAGTCCTCTCAGAATAACTTGCCTTGTTGAAGGGACTCTCTGTAAGGGGAGGGAAAAAAAAAGTCCTCAAAACCAAACGCTGTCTTTGTTTAAAGCTATTTGCGGATCAAGGTTGTGACTTAACTGTGAAGCAACATGGCTCTCCTTTGCTTATATTAAAAACACAATACCACATTAAAAAATCAATGTCTTGGGAGGTAACTAGGATGAAATGCAATTCAGCAGTGTGAGACTTTAATGTAGGTTTTACAGTACCTCATATCTCTTGTGAATAAATATATAATTAGTGGTAGGGCTTTTTGCTCCTTTTCTTTTTTGTGTGTAGGTTGAAGAAATTCTTCAGGGTAGAGGTTGTAATTGATAATACTTTTAATCTTTGCCACTTTCTTCCTGAGGTCTGTAGCTACATCTTTAAGTGTTTATGCTATGCCATGTTATTTTAGTGGTACAGAATGTTATTTTAAGACTGGTTGTGTGTTGGCGAGTGCATTAGGCTTCCTGTAGACCTGTCTGAATTAGACTCATGATTACCTAATTACCCTTGATTGTGAAGAATGAGAATCAATAAACAGTGTCATCCTTCCAGTCTCATGTTCTGTTGTGGTACATTTGTATCACCCAGCACAGCATGGTCTTAATCTGCTTGTCATTGTGGAACAAATAATAGGGAATTGCACTCAGCACTGCTTCACCTGAGGGAATTTGTGGATGAAGCAGTGGTGGCTGTTGCCTGTTCTGCCTGGAGCAGGGTCCTTGGGTACCTCAGTGAGGTGCTGATGAACACCCCACCTCCTGCCTCCAGTGGGAAACTGGGTGAACTTCCACATCCAACAAGAACAGCCTGGATGGTGCTCCGAGTCACCTGGTCTAGTGGAAGGTGCCCCTGTCTGTGGCAGGGGTGTTGGAACTTAGATGATCTTTAAATTCCTTTTCAACCCAGACCTTACTGTGATTCCATGACCCGCTGGTTTAAATGCCAAGACAGCAAGAAAATGGGTTAAAGTACAGATCCACCCTTTCCAGGTTTCTCTTCCAAAGTTGCAGCTACACTTAGCGAGCTGGAGAACCTTCTGGTAAATTTTTGGATCTGTTGCTGGATACCACAGCAGGAGTTTTCAGGCTTGGGCGTGGATGTCAGTGGAAGCTGACAGGTCCTCAGCGTCTCTGAGATGTAGTGAGGTTCAATCAGACACCCATGTGCATTTCAGAGCCAAGATGCTGAAGTCCCAGCTGTCCTCTTGGATGTCATAGGACATTAACTTTGCCCATATCTTCTATATGAAAAATTCAAGGGCTCCATTTAGACCAAATACATGAATCCTTCAGAAATCAAATGAGAGCTCAAGCAGAAGGTAGAGAAACAGATGCTGTCAATGGCAGGAGGGGATGAGCAGGTTATCCAGGTAGCAGTTCGGAGAAACACCCCTGGGCTTCTGGAAGGAGGCAAAATGACCTCAAAAGGCTCTTGCTGATTAGTGACAATGCTTTTCCCGGTCCCAAATTTGATGGCCTATGTGATTTTACATTTATTATGTATAAGCACTCCCCAGGCATTTGCAATGATTTTCTGCAGTGCCTCCAAACTGCAGTGCAACTTTGGTATTTCATGTCTAGCCACAGTTGGTTGGTTTAGAAGAATTAAGCTGAAAAAAGTAGCAGCTGAATTCAGGTAGGCAGGCTTGAAAACTGGCCATATGCAGCATTATTCCTGCCCACTTTTCCAGGTGTCTTGCTGTAAACTAGAATTAAAAGCTCATGAAGATACACCTGAGAGTCAGGGCCATCTGACAGATTCTTTCATTGGCTGTGACTGGGTTATTTGTGTAAAAAAAGCACTTGTGCTTTTTTCCTGCTGGTAGGTCCAGAAAATATAATGTTTAATTTCTTGAGGTTGATTATCCCCTGTCTCTCTCCCAGTTTTTCTCTTTTCCCCCACATTTTGCTTTTCTGTCTCAGTTGAGATTATTCAAGCTTTCTGTTTAGCTTCCAGATTTCTCAGGTGCTGCAGCCCCTGGGTTACTTCTTAGACACTCCACTTAGAAATAGCCCTCTTCCTCACTGTGGGCTGCTCACAGCTGGTGCCCAAAACACTTTCTGAGTAGTTTACATCTTGGCAATAATGCTTGTCCTCCTGGCACTGTGCTGCTGGAGTGGGTGGTCCTGTAGGATCTATGTCAGGTGTCTGTCAGGTATCTGGGATGCGAGGAAGGCGGAGGGCTGGGAGCTGGGCTGCTCCTTCTGCAGTTCAGCCCAAAGAAGAGAAAGTGAATTATGCAATAGACCTGATCAAATGTCTTTCTTAAGTTTCATTGGCAGACTTGAGTTTCACAGCTCCTGAGGTGACACTGTTCTGCTGGGGAGTTTGAGGAGCATTCTCAGTGTAACAGAACTGTGAGTTTCCAGAGAAGCCCCTCAGAGCCCCAGCGTGACGTAGGTTTTCCCATCAAACTAGTTTTTCATTAATTAAAAAAGTATGCACCCTAGATAGGGTGAACTCTTTGAGGAGGATAGTGCAGACAGGTTATTTATCTTCAGCCTTTAATCTCTTTTATTTATTTTTGACCTTTGTTTATTTTTTCCACGTTAGTTATTCATGTCTCTTGCATATCTGAAGCATCTTTACTGGAACCTGCAGGAGGATCATTACTCTATTTTCTAACTTCTCAATCTTGTCCTAATCAAAAATGTAAATACATTCAAAATGATTTGCATGTCATTAACTTCCGAAAAACACTGTCATGCTAAAATCAATGTTTTTTGGAATCCAATTTTCCTGCATGCCTGAGAAGTAGCACCTGGAATTCACAAACCAAGAATTCTGAAAATATGAACTGTTTTCAGCACTGCTGTTTACATTCGTTTTTTCAGTTCATCCAGGGAAGAACAGTAATTTAAATGTAGGGTGGTGGTGATTTTTCTCACCAGTTTCTTTCTTCAGTCTTCATACTTCAACAGAAAGTTTCATTACTTTTTTTTTAAATTTAACAATGAGTAAAGTTAGCATGGTGTAAGCTCATTGTACACTCATTTTTCACTGAACTCATTGTGATCGTTTATGAACCCAGCATCTACCACATACCAGGAATTTATGGGAAAATACCTATACTTGTGGACAGGAACTTGCAGATTTCAAGGAATACAGGGAAACCAGGAGAAAATAATGTCATTGGGGCAGGGCTGGCAACGGAGCTGCCCCTGAATTTCGGTTTCCTTGGCACAGAGGTTTGTGTACGAGCTGAAAGCTCAGGCTGGGAGCCTGTGAGGAGCAATCAGCAGACAAGGGTACGACACGGGCGCTTTGCCAGCACTTTACATGAGTGGCTTTACTCGTGTCAGAGATGCTGAGAATAAGAATTCCTGGGTTTTCACTTGTGCAGGTGATTGCCACCGACATCTCAGGGATGCTGAGTGTGTGGGTTTGACAGGGCTGTTCCATCTTTAAGAATAAGCAGATGAGATTTAATTTCTTTCAAAAGCGGGAGTCTGAAGGGAGCCTTTGATACGCTTCACTGGCCCAGCACTCCGGGCTTGCTTTAATAGGCTGCCCTCAAGCCAGTGAGTCTGTAAGCCAGCTCAGGGTTACTGTGGATCAGATGCCAGAGCCTGTGAGGGCTCTCCCTCTCTGAAAGCTCTCCCAGTCTTTGCAAACAGGATTATCAGCAGCGCTGGAAATGCCCCGTGCTGCTGGAGTGTGTTATGCTGTGGTTAGAAATGCACATTCTGCACCCTGGGCAGCGAACAGAAAGGGCCATTGCTATTGATAATTCAGTAGAGCAGCTTTGAAGTGTCTTTTCTTTCAGGAACGAGGGGGAGACAGTGTGCAACAGTTCTGCTGATAAAAATAAAAGACCTTCTTCTAAATGGCGAGATAAAATGTAAGGCAAACAGTGGATCAGATTTAAGTTCCAATTATTTTTGAAAAAAGCATCTTGCTTTCTGTGCTGGGACACATTTAGCTGTGTGATGTCTGAGAAATGGCAGCTGTATTTCACACTCAGCGTTGTTTCTAATGAATTTCTGTATTGAGGTAATTAAAA